AAGAGAGACTGCACCTGATAGAACACACTGTCATCTGGATTGTCCATGTCATCATCCACTGAGAGTAAGGCCTAAAAAGTAACAAAGAGTATTAACTTAGAAACGTTTACCTGCTTTACAGCAAACTTTGACTGATGTACATGCACTGAGTACACCTACTGCTATTTTAGAATGCTATGTATGTTTAAATGTGATTGTAGCTCTGCATCTGTTTAGCTGCGATATTTTCTAGCTGGTGTAATCATGAGCAAATCATCTTTGAGCCTCTGCTGGATTATGAAAAACTGGAACTAGTAATACTAGGATCTCTATAAGAGGTAAGTGTGACATAACAACACACAGAATCCTCTCAAAACTATTTACTGCTCTATCACAAGCTACTACTATATTATTTATAAAGTGCTGATGATACAGCCTAAAAATTTCTCATATACTAAAAATGTTAGTAGTTTTATGTAATTGAATTTGAGAATAACTTAGGAGTTCAAAAATCACATTAGGTCAAATCCATTTGTCAAACAGGCAGCCTATTACCTCAGTCGATTTATAAAAAATGTGTGTGACTATAAACAAATGTTGTCTATACATATTTCAGAAGCCACTAAAGGATCCCTAAGTACGTCTGGTTGTACTAAACCCCCAAATGCGCTGGATGAATGTGGGGCAATTTTCAGGCAATGTACACAATATTTATCACACCAAATGGGAAAGAGGAAGGAAATCACCTCAGGGAGGCCAGGCTGCATATACAGCTGCTGGAAGACTGCGTTCATGTAGCACGTGGCACCACCATTCCTCAGCCCCACAAACCCTGCACTGGACCTGCTATCCACTGGGGGAAGGTACTAGGAAGGAAAGGAGGAGAAACAGGAGAGAATCAGTATCTCTGCCACCAGCATACCTCCTCACAGCTATATGAGATGTCTGAGCCGGAAAGGAGGTATACGCACAGATTTATCCATCTAGTGTTCTCCGTGTCATGGTAACAAAACCTATGTTCATGAAGTACCTCTGCAGATGCTAACGCAATTATAAATGACTATTATCTCAATGCTTCTTTTTAGTTCATAAAGTACTCAGCATATAGTATGTATTTGTTTATCCATTATGTAGTCATGCATTCACGTGATTATTATTCAACAAGTATTTATCAAGAGCCTACTATGTGCCAAACACTGTACCAGAGATACACGAGAGGGCAGAAATGTACTTGGTCCCTGATCGCAAGGAGCTTACAATCTGGTAGGCCA